TATGATTACTTTTTTTTTCACAAAAATGTGAGACAGTTAATATTGTAGCTCACTCATAAACTGAATATATAGCGACATCTGATTTTTTGAAGATCAAAAGTAAAAAATCACAATTCAAAGATAAGCACACCCAATAGTATGCACTTCAACATATGAGACTTTAAGTTAACTGTTGTTCTTGCTCAATGCAGAGCAGTAATGGCTGAAACTTACAAGTACACGTAGATCTACGGCAGTGATTGTTTCCATTAGACTTGTTCTGCTTCATCAGAGATTCTCGGCACTTCAGGTTTCATCGACAGACGACTTTGGATTATTCGTTCGCAACAGCGCAGCGAAATCACAACAAGGCACGCGTAGAGCAGCAGGATCGCATCTAAAAGAGGAGAATTTTGTTTTGTTTTATCGTAAGAAGTTACTAACATACCAAGTACTAGAGCAAATAATACCCATTCGAACAGGATTTCCTTCGGCATTTCTCCGATAAGAACGTACAAAACAATGGAAAATACGATCATGGTAACCCTGAAATACCAAAAGATATGAGATATCTTAGAGTTGAAATGCAGAACGTTTACCTAATATTTTTCAGTGTTATTTACATCTTATTTAGGAGGTCACAGAAATCTCTGCCGAGTTCGCGCATGTTTTTCTAACAAATACTTCTAGGCTACATGAATTCTCCTTCCTTACTTTTTTTAGAACCCAGAATTAAATAAGATAGTTAAGCTTTATTGCCATCATATGTAGGAGTCCGTTCTTTGTGTGACGAGATCTTCTAAACTTACGTATAAACGAATCCAATAACGAGGAGTAGGATGTCCAGGACGAGGTGTGAGACAAAGAGGCTTCGATGAGCTACACAAACTCCAATGAGGTAAGGAAAAAGTGTCATCAGCTGACAGACACACCACAAATCGAACATCGTCCTTGCTATGCATATAGCTGATGCTGAGAAGGTGGTTAGTTGGAACTGAAATGAATAGTTGATTGCAATCAAGAGAAGCTCTCTTTCTATCTGAAAAAAAATTGAAGGGATATGGGGGAGAAGTAAGCCGCCGAATAATTTTCAATTATAATGAATGGATCACTACGCAAACAATACCCTTCGCTCCTTAATTTGATCTATATTAATCGCGTAAAACGCCAGATTTCATCAAAAAGTGGTCGAGACTAGCCCTACC